TGTGTGCATTTCTAGAACAGCTTCATTTAAAGTTCATATTCGTGATGGTAGGAAATTTCCCACCTATTCCATAACTTCTTCCAGACAAATTACTGAATGATCTTCAAAGTCCAAGCTGTTTCAGAACTGTCGTGAACGCAGGCAGGGATGCTGATATGCAAAATCGGCCGTTAATTATTCGAAGGTGAATATTTCTTTGGAACGAGGTTTTCAGATAACATTCTCCGGAAATTTGGATATTTATAGGTGCGGGGAGGGAGGTATAGATTTTTTTGCCAGCTTTGCCCTTACCAGAGAAAGGGTAAAAAATAAGTTCAGCTTAAGAGTTACATTAATTTTGATGTTTGTAGTGGCCGGTTGAGGAGAACGTTGTATGCACCCCTTCAGTTATTTGACCTGGCGGTCTTATTCTAAGTTGGTCCGAGGTGTTTAGTAGACAAATCGACTGCAAAAAAGTTTAAGTTAGTCTGACTTCCTCGCCAGGTTGCAAATACTTTTCGGAGTCCAGAGTTTCTCGAAGATGATTTGGTCTGCCACTAACTTGATCCACTGATAATCACTGAAACAAAACCTCATTACCACTTAAAAGAGACGGATGTGGCTCGTCCTTTATAAAATCCAATCGAACGTGCTTTTGACGGCTATCACAAGTTTTTTTGGCCAGTGGATAACCTGAGTGTCCTTATTATTGTGCCTAGGCGACGAAAATGCTGTCTTGAAACTTTTCGTCAATCAGAAACTCGGGCCATCTGTGAATTCCATAATCCAACGCCTGCGTGGCATTAGATAAATATCGATATCCCCACATTCATGCACAACCTGATGCGTGCAGGTGTCTTTAAAACATATACCGTGGTTTATCCAACGCGTTATATTGGTTCCAAGCCATTTTTTGGCGCAGTCCTAGTGGAAACGTGCGAGAAAAGTTTTTATAAATATTAGATGGCTACTACTAAAACACAATCACACGGTCAGTCATTCCCGAGGAGCGGACTAATTGCACACGCGGTGCAACGGTTGCGTATAATTAAAACATTAAGCACAGTAAGGAAGCATCGGAATGTATCCCAAGAGTGGCATGGAACATCATATTGTCCACACTTACTGAAAGTTAAAGGCAGTTCACAACTGTCACCGAGACTCAGTTAATTTAAATAAGATCACGAGTGTATTTGATACTAGGTCGTCCGAAGTCTGCTGAAAGTCATTTCTATTTGCCAATTTTTGTTGCCTGCTTTGCGGATTTCAGCCCCTTACCTTTCCTGCAGCTAGTTACTGAACAAACTTATTCTCTACCTCTAAAAACCTCCACAAGAGACATATAGCATAATTGATTAAGTTTTTAATAGAAAGCTTTGTCCACCGTAATAAGCAACAGTATACGCTGCTTGTAAAATTTATCATATTATCCTCAAAGTTATTACATTAACGCCAGATACATGTCAAGTCAACACATGTCCACGAAGGCGACTTTTCGAATGCGCCGAGTCTGGTTATTTTCAAAGAGGGGAAATGGACGTGAGCTGAGCGTTCGATATCCAGGACAGGATTTATTTTTAGTAATTTCCACGAAATACATCAAGTTTGTGATGAATTCTTCTCGTCGGAGAAGCAGGTGGGCCATAACATTGATGAATAATGGGGAAACTAAGTCATTATTCCCTTCCGAAACGTTATTTATACGTATCTCAGAAAAAGAGGGGATTCTAAATAAATTAAGCATAGTCGTGTATCCGTTTGCTATTTGTTCCGATTGATCAAGATTAGCCTATAGAGCATACTGATCTCCCTCCTATTAAAGTAATGCTAACCAGTCGCTTCCCTTTTGAAGCCCATTCTGTATGACGGCATCCAACAACAAAGTCTGTAAAACATTGGCTACAGGGAGTCTTCGAAATCTGGGGTCTAAGGATTGCTGAATGCCATGACTCCTTTTATGTATACGAAAATCTGCAGCAGCTGGAGAAGTGGATCTACTCGGAGTGCCACACACGCAAAGCCGGATTCCGATTGTCAGGAGGGCAGGGCAAGGGGTTTTATTGAATACGGAATCCCGAGTTGTTGTTCCGGATTCCAGTGGCCAGTGATTAGGGGAAGACGCGTGTTGTCGGTCTTTAGCCATGCTCTTGGTACTGAAGCAGTAATGAATTTTGCTGTGAAGGGTTTTAGGGGCAGATCCAAGCGTCTTTAACTCGAAATGATGGGTGTTGCAGTAATCAGGGATTGCATTTCCAAGAGGGGGTAAAAGCGGATATGGCTGTCTGAACAATAATATTCTTATCTTTAGCGCCCAGATGATATTCGCACATTATGCAGTCGACTAGAATGCGACGTTAATGCGCTTTAAACCATCAACTGGAAATGTGGATGGTCTTGACGAATTTAAAATCTTCTAATTTTCTTCGTCGGGACAGCTTCATGTACTGCGAGCATAATTGAGCGTGACTCAACATAGGGGTTCCAGCACCGAAGCCGTTTTAAAGACTTCGAACCAGCTCATTCCTATTTCAAATGAGGCCTACTTAACAGCGGTCTCAGTATGTATAGTACTGAACATGCCTGGGGATACTGTGCCATGTCAGTAGGAAGTCTCCCTAAAAAGCTGTTTTTTCTCCGTTCAAAACAGACATGAAATACACAGTGGGCACGAGCTTCACAAAATAGACTTTGCCTTCTGAGCTCTCTGGATGGTGCGAAAATCCGAAATTAGAACTCCCATTACGTCCTTCCATGCCCTCGACATTTGGTAAACGGAGATATACAACAGTAAATAACCAACTGCCAACGAAGCCGCTTCATGCGCACGGTCGATACGAACCCACAGTCTGCCGCATAAAATATTTTTAACACAGGCTTCTCTGCTGTCAGACTAGATTTGTCACGCTCCCATGGCTGTAAATGCAAAGCAACTATCTCTAAAACCGAGTTCGGCCCGCCAACTTTCCTCTCTACAAGCTTTAGTCTTGAATAACCCTGTTCAGGCCGGGCGCTTTTAGATGGGTCAATATATATCGTTAAATCTGCGTGTTAACAATACATATGGTAGTTGTGCAATCAATAAGCCGCTATCGTAGTCTTCCCGTATTTAGGGACTGCTTTCATCGCATGCGAAATCTTATCGATAATAATCGATCTCGAGCAGAAGTGCTCACAATAAACTAGCGGTAAACAATAATCAGTGACTCTGTTTTTTAAATATTAACGTTTCGTTAGCTAGGCAAAATCAAGCGTCTTCCATGTTTTCCGTTCTTGTGTGGTCTCTTTCTTATGGACGTACTTACTTATTTTGGCACAATTATCGAAGTGAGTCGCGAGCATTGTTAATAGTTTGAATCTTTTTGTAGATTTAACGGCACATGCTTGCTTTTTATATGTAAAACGTGTCATCTGCTGCCTTCAGTTCAATTGGTTGCCACTCACCGTCTTACTCATTGTTTTCAAAACTTTTAGAATACAACTATACCTTGCCTTGTTCCTGTGGAGCAGGTTACAACGAATGATGCAGTGTTTATCAAGAAGGATGTGACAGCATCACCCTCTTTGGAGTAATCAAGGTGCGGTAGAGTCTAGCCCTAACGCAATCATAGTTCGTTTTCTTGAGAGCGGCCACTGTGTAGACGTCAAAGGAGACTTCCGAAGTATCCGCAAAGTGCAGACTAAATGCCTGAGGTTCATATGCCAACACAGTTTTGGGGGAGCGGAAGCACTGGCCATAGGGTAGCCGGCACGGTCTAAGGCTCACTGATGACGTAAACATAAATTTTCCACATACTCTGCTCACACTGGGTGAAAAGCTGCCTAACAAACGCACTAGTAAGCCGCGTTACTACGGCAGAGAGCCAACAAAATCCCCTGACACTCTTCTTATGCTTCTAACGAATCTAATACATTGTCTCACTCTCACATCAAGCCCCGCTGCGGGTTACATTGTTTACTTTGATTTTAATAATAGCTCGAGCACAGTCAAGCGGAAAACAGCAAATCCATAGCCAGACACGGAAACTGGGTCTTCAGTAAATTGTAACCATGTTTTGGATATGAGCATGGAAGTAGACAAAGAGGCTGAGAGCTGTTTAAAGAAAGATTTTATCGTTCTTTTTAGCCGAAAATGCACTGGACTTAGGTCACCCGTTTTCTGGCTAAAAAGACCTTGGGAATCGAATATAAGAATAAAATGTATAAGAGCTAGACCTATCTTAGCAATAAAAATTCTCGGCAACTGGAAAGATATGCATTTTTATTATCTTGGTACGACTAAATGTGTATTTGCAGCTTCGCTAGGGAGTGCCTACATTGATCTAAACACTTGAGGTAACTAAGCTATTCTAGTTTATTGTTTGTGGCGCATCAGTCACGATTTACCTATTGCCATGAACTCGAATTCCCTTTCAAACACGCACATGCCAAACAACATTCAATGCTCGAAGTACGCGCACTGATTTGTAAATAATCGTGCAGAAATACCCAGTGAACCGAAGGAAATAAGCTCATAGACTTGCGGAATGTGGGGTCAGTAAGATAGAGATACTCATACTGGGTTTAATTGTCCTGAATACTGAAAACTAACTTTTTGACCAGATAGATCAACTGGACAGGTTTGCTCTGCCAACCCCACACTGAACCAGGAAACTTTGTCTCATTAAATTTCCTCCAGTTGTTGTGACTATTCAAAACGCGGTTTTTTAAAAATGTCGAAAAGTCCACGATATTCGCCTTCAAAGACGTACCCCAATTTCAAAAAACTAAACGCGAACGAAATCAACAATTTGATCGACAATTGGCCCGCGCATGCACTTGGCAGAACCTTTGCATCGTCACAGATCGCGGTTGCTAATGGACGCCTACGCGTTTTAAGCGAGGCGGAAACGAGTAAGTCTGATGCTTGAAGAATATTGCTAGAGCTTCCTAACCTCATACCCAAGCCGCAATTTCTTGAAAAAATAGAATCAAAAGTTAAAAGAAGGCTCGAAGGCCAGGGACTTGCAAAAAAGGAACCATGTATGGAAAGGCTTCATGTAGATTTTTATTCGTGAATCGAATTTAAAATTAGATTTACAGAGAGGCCTTTGATTTTATAATTAATTCATTCAAATCTTACGCGCCTTTGCTTTCGTCCATCAAGCATGAATACGATGAGGTTCTCAACTACTACAGACTCCTTTCAAGAGACCTGCAGCCGACGAAGGTTTTATTAGGACTTGTGTATATTTTTTCGTAGGAATTAGTTTGGACAGTTGCTCAAGACTGCGATGCAAAAATAAATGAGATCCAACACTCGCAACTTCACGGTTTGTTTATATGTTATTCAAATCCGAAAAAAAACAGATCTGAATGTATTAAGGCAACAGGTAAAGGACCTCGAAACAAAACTTTCTGTTATGAAGGAGGAGAAAACAGAATTGAAATTTCTGGTAAGATATAAATTTTTCGACATACGTATTTATATTTCTTGAATGCTATCTTTCTGAATTTTAGTTTGCTAACGACAGTAATGAAACTGAGTATATCACTGGGATAAAACCATCTCTCAATAACAGCTGTTATTGAGAGCTGGTTTTATCCCAGTGAGCATGCGTATGTTGCATGCATATATATTTGTGCTGAAGAGAAACGTTTATCAGTTTAATGGTATCGGAGGTGACCGCTCTCTTTGAATGTAGAGTGTAGTGTATCAGTTTTGGCTAGCAGAGGTACAGTAGAGAACGTAAAACGATATCACGTGGCATGAATTTAAATTGCATCGCTTCTTCCTTATCCTACCACCAGTTTATCCACTTTTTATGTGTCTACGGTAAATTTTTCGGTATCACGCATCAAGGTGCCCGTCAAGTAAACCTACTTTACTTTTTTTACAATACATATGAAGTGTTATGTCGTGAGATTTAGAGCGATCGTTGCGATCATGGTAGCCTCTCGTATCGTGTGCTCACGTCCCTTCTATTTATCGTGAGTTTAGTCAGCTGAGCATTATGCTGAGGAGGAGGAATACCGATGTTGGTATCGTCCGGTTGCCGGTATGTAACGGTATATTAAACTTGACTTGGCCCACAAATAGTCAACCGCACAGTATTCGACATAAAATAGTACGTCTCCGGAAAGAGTTTCTTTTTAAGGGCAAAGAGTTAGAAAAATAAATGGAGTTACTCATATTACACATCTTATTGTCTATTCCAAGCCCACAGGAAAACCCTATTAATCTCAAAAACGTTATGCTGTTATTCCATAAGTAGGCCCAAACTTGTACATCAATGACAAAATACATTAGGGGTTTAACACTTGGCAAATTCCGGACACATAACTGGAGATGTCCATTTAGACGATAAATAACGCGAACTTTTGAAATAATTTAACTAACGACCAAGGTCCTACCCTACAGTTCCAGTCTGGTCACTAACGGCTGGCATTATTTAAAATCTTGAGGAAAACACTGACTTTTTGACTACGCAATGCTTTTTGAATATGTCATAGCGTATTCATTTTGTCTTCCTTTAAGGCGCAAAACGTACTGAAAGCTTCTGCAACAACTTCCAGCTGTTCATTTGTAATGCGCTTTAGGGGGTTAAAGGCGAGTTCATCATCGCTGTCTAGAAATCGTCGATTATCCCCTTCATTTTGTTTGGTTTTTTTAACAAATAACATTCTGTTTTGATGAAACGTCAGGACATAATACGTGCAAGTGTACATACGCTGATGGGGACCTCGAGTCCATACCCCGGCCTCACGGCTATAGCCCAATCAGCCCTCCTTTAATTTAGTGTATAATTTTAATATATTTTAGATGGAAAAGCTAAAAATTGATATGGCAAAACTGGAAGAACTTCGTAGAACGGAGGCAGACGGGAGAAAACTTGGCATAATTTCAATAAACCAACTACAAATGCAACTGGCTGATATGCGACACTCCTTCCAAGAAAGCATGCGCACTAGCGAGTCTCAGGATGACCCCGTGAAAATGAAGATAGCTTTACAGTACGTTAAACAATTTGGATAATAATGCTAGCATCAATAACTGACATGGCCACACATTCGAAATGCGTGACTCAAAAGGTCACAACAGTTCAGCGTGATCCCTTCTTCCAAGGTTTATATTCCCCGAAAGTGAATCGTTTACGAGGTTCTCCGGTCTGCTGTTGTCGCCTTGAGTAAAACAGTAAAACAGTTGCGTTTGCGTTTCCAAATGGTGCCTGTTTTATGGGTTTTCTGTGAGGAATAAATTAAGTCAATAGCTAGGCTGCTAGAACGGCGTCACACATCTCACATCAGGGTAACTGTCATAAAGGGTCGGTTTTGGAGGAGACATAGCAGCCTTCCTTTCGACCCCCCAGCCACTTCAGGATACTCCCCGTCAACTAACAAACTCCCAATCCACGACCTCTAGCGCGTTAGATTTATTACAATGTGCGTCAGTGTGCCTGAACCTGTTAGCCATCTTTTGATGCTAGTGAAGTGTTCATATACTGAGATACAACGTTTCGCTTACCATTTTGGTGATGATAAGGAGGGTTTCACGTTTGCTGTTGAAGATCTATATAGCGTTGTAGGAGCGGCGTGTATGCGTGTGTTGTCGAGCAGATCCATACATTGCATAGAGAGGTTTATGTGCAGCTTATTCGAGGCATGATCAAGGGGACTTTACTATGGTATTTTACCGAGGACATTCAAAGGGACGTCTATAGTCAAACAGTCGCAAGCAGTATGCGGTAGCAGTATGAGCAGGCAAGGTATATGCGAGGGGTGCATATCAGGGCTTCAGACACCAGTTTGCGGTCTCATTACGGTGGATCCGCCAGCAACCGGCCAGCACGTGCAGACACAAAAGGGACGTGTTGGATTTGCGTCAAAATTTATGGTGAAAGGGGCAACAGGGACATTTCACTGGATCAGGGAATGTCTGACACGGCATTTAGTGAGAATAAGTTGGCGGGAGTTAGGTGCTACTTCATGTGTCCGCAACATTTCAATCTTGCGAACTTCTTTATCTTGACAGCTGCTATCGTGTCGGCTTTGAAAATGGCTGTTCTGGTCTTTACGACAATGCAACATGTCTGCCGATCTTTACCAATTTCCTTCCATGTCTCCGGGTTTATTTGTAAGAGCTTGGGAGAGATCTTTAAGACGTTCTAGTGGTGAAGCCTCAATGCACCTCGTCTGAAAGCAGCCGTAGTGACGTCGTAGAATGGTCGCTTGGGCCGGTGTCCGTCATTCATTCGCAGGATGTAACTGCTTCATTCTCGACAGTATCCGCCTCGGCACGACGTGGTTGCTGAGGACACTGGCTCTGCCCAGAATGTCAGTTCACGACAGCCTTTTCTGTTACTTCACCTCCGCTATTCTTCAACCGCTATGCGACTGCCTGAGAAGACTCTAAGCTGAACTTCACAAGCTCTTTGCCCTGTCGTTTACGACTGAGAATATTAAGGATACTGCAAATGCGTCTACTGAGCCGGTTACGGAGCGTGCTCGTCCAGTTACGGATTGAGGTTCAATCTAGTGCCCTCGCAGGCAGCCATATATGCAAAGAACGTGTTACAGAAAAATCCGAGGCAGACGGGGATGACAGATTCTGGCCTGTTAGCTGTCATCGGATTTGCTGAACGTGAGGTTAAAACTCGGGTTCCTCGGTCATTGGGCATTAGTTAGTCCAGTGTTCTACCATTGTGCACGGACCCGCTGTCCTGTCTTGTTCCAAGAATAAGCATATTCACTCGTCTTTGTTTGATTTTTTGCTAACTTCGGAAAACACTCTCCTTCTGCTTACGTTAATACCGTCACTTTAAGGAAAGCCAAGGAAGCCCACACGTTTCTGTTGACAAAACTCACCCAAATGGAGACGGACTATGTGGATGTTGTGCCGCGAAAACAGTTTGAAGAGGCATCAGAAAAGATGAAAATAATGGGCGAGGACTTGGAGGTCTTAAGCAAGCACTGCAAGGCACTGCAGTCAACCTTAGAGTAAGTTTGCCTCTTTTTGTTCATTTCAATCCTGCCAGACTCAGTTCTCTTTTAGTTTGTTTTTATGCAAATCTGACCTAGCGTTGTCTGCAGAAGGATATGGGATGTTTTAGACTATTTCCAGATGTGACAGGGTGTGAACAGTGGGACTTCCTCGTCCGCCCAGGATGGGGAACAAGACTCAGGAATCAAGCAAAGATGCGAATCCCAGGAATTAGTTGATAAGAAGAAGAAGAAGAAGAAGAAGAAGAAGAAGAAGAAGCGATCACTGGAACAAAAGCTTTATCCGCCTGACGTTTTGGATTCTTGCTCGAGCCCATCACCAGGGACAGTAACAGACCCGTATCTGTCACTGTCTCTGATGATGGGTTCGAGGGAGAATCCGAAACTTCAGACGAATAAAGCTCTTGTTCCGGCGATGGCTTCTACTTCTTGTCGGCCAGAAATCAGTTGCATATATTCCCGTAAAAGGCTAAACGTTAATTTTACCGAAAATGTGTTTTGAACTACTACGTATTGACTGACACCGAATTAAATGGACGGGCATGGTAGACTATAATCCTCCCACGGCGCCTAGTCAATTTAATTTGGTCAACATTGTTTGCATATCAACGGCCAGACGGAACACTATCTTGGAGAGTTATTGAAAGAGGCGCCACCGTACATTCCACGTTCCATATGCTAGTCATTTTGTCGGTGGGGTGAGGAATTTTCACCATCTCTTTAACATGTAATTTTTGGCTTTTATGCTCGACTGCGAGCCGATTGAGGGACACGCTGGAAGGTCCACAGTTCACACTCTTTATGTCGCACATGCTGATCGTCTTTGTATTTCCAACACGTTCGGTGACTCGCGCCGTGAGGCCGACGACTGAGTTTAGAAGGAATACACTTTTACCTAAAAAAACAAAATTGACCGGAATTTATCCAAATATCATGGCCCAGCACAGACGAAAAGTGCAGGTTAGCTTTCGCTAAACAGAACAGGTAATGCGAGAACGCGATTTTTTTCCGTGACATGCAACTTAGTCAGTAAGTGCACACATATGTGGGGTAATTAAACCTGATAAAAAACACTTTCAGTTAATCAAGTAATTGCTTTCCTGTGTTAAGTTAGAAAAATGCCCATTAGGGCCTAGATGGGGGAATAACAGCTCAGTTCCAACAGCTTCTTTCGTGATCACTGTGTGGAAAACGAACCCATAATCTTTCCCTTTGGAAGTAAAGCGAGTCAAGCTTCTGTTACCTAGGCGACGGACTTCTGGGAAAGGTCCAGATTCCGAGGAATGATCTGAAATTCTAGAAACAAATTATTCCGCCTCCACCACGCTCTACCCCAACCCTCGAGACGGCTTCCTACGTCGCCTCAAGAAGTCCCCCCTACGACTGAATTAAGGTTTCACTCCTGTTAATGACCCACATTTTCAAGATTGCGAAAAGCTGATAACGTCAGCTCTTTAAAACAAAGGTTGGACAGAGTGCTTTAAAGCATTGGAAATACCGCTCTCGACGATAAAAGGTAATATCCTCGAGACGAAGGAAGTACCCGCCTTAGTGATAAGTAGGGAGTTCGGGATCATCCTCATGAACTGTAACGCCTTCTTTGGGGCATGTCGACACCAGTGCGGTGAACAGGAAAACACTTTGCCTGGCTTATACTTTCTGAAGATCATCCGTAATCTTTTTATCAATAATATGTCAGTATATTCTAAGGGTAATAGGCAATGCCTTTAAAAACCCTATTGTAAACGGTACATGAAATATCTCACTATAAATAAACACCGTACTGAAATGCTGTCAGTAATATATGCACTTAACAGAATATTTTCCGTTGAGGCTGCAGGACCGAAGCTCAAACACATTCAGTTGTAGATGATATCGGTAAAATGCAATGACAGTCATCCGCATTAGCGGTAGGTGTATGCGAGGCGTTGGTTTCGCGCCACAGAGCTGTTCTGTCCAGACAAGCGGTATTGTCCAAGCAAATATACATCTAGTCTTTGCTTGAACGTCTCCGTGGTATCCGCCATTATTACGTCCTCAGGAAGCCCGTTCCAGGCACCGACAACTCGCTGTGAAAAACAGAATCTTTGAACGTCCAGGCGGCATCGGGATCCTCTAAGTTTTAGGGAGTTTCCAAGCAGGTTTGTTGTTGTGGCCAGGGTGAAGAAATCGTCCAGGTGTGGGGCACAGTCCCGGTTCCTCAATATCCGATAGGCCTGTATGAGATCAGTCAGTGTCTTTTATGTCACCGTACGGACTTCCAAAGTTGCTTGAAAGCGTTGCTTCCATCTTTATGGACGATTAATTAGTATTTTCCGGCGAATGGGACACTGCCAATGTCGTTTCGTGCCAACAGCTTGTGTCCAACTTATTCCGGCCACTAACAGTGCTGCTCCGGTAGCCCTTGTTTGAAATGACTTTTATTAGTTCAATCAGGCTTTTCCATTTAAAGGCTTCACGACCGGCAATGCGAAAATTCGAACGATACATTGGAGCCTTAACTCTACTCTCTTCCAGTTTTTTTTTTCGCATCAAACAGCGAATTGGCATTCGTTGTGAAATATCCGTCGAAATTAGGCAACCATTGGCTGAACTCTCTGCATGCGTTTTTAAGCACAAATGATTACTTACTTGGTCTTATAAAACTAACAGTATGGAGGGTGCGTTCACCGACCGAGTTACGGGCCACGCTGGATCCGTTGTGCCTTAAGGCCCAGTATAGAACTTTTTGGGGCCAGTTATACAGCGACTGAAGCAGACAAGGGAGGACCGAATCATTACTTCTGGCCTATCAGCCGTCATCATTTAGCCTTGCTAAAAACCCAGGTAGTCCACACCTGAGTCTCAAACCACTGAACCGTGGGCTCGTCATGTAGCGTCCGAAATTATTGCACGCGCGATGGCATGCTGCTTTTCGTCTAAGAAGCTCCCCAGCACCTCGCTTTGCTTCCACAAGTTTCAGCGCCTATACCAATGCTTCCAAGAAAGAAGGCACCACTAACTCTTCGCCGTCTTGCTCACGTTCCACCCATGGAACCTAAACACCAATGAGTGCCTTAGTAAAACCGTCTTTTCCGATATCGGATTCCACTGAACAAAGCATATCTGCTGAGTATCGCATTTTGGTTTCTATTTATCGGAATATCACTTGGTACTACTTAAGGAGAGCAATAAATATTTCCACAGAACTGGTCTAAATGATGTAACTTCGGCCAGGGATTCCTCAACTCTTCTGGGCAGAAAGTGGTCATGACACTTTGTTGACTTGGGTTGGTAACCCATTCTAGAGCATGATTTTACACCATCAATGTTATCTATGTGACGAACCAAAGACTACCCCGTGAACAGGAGTTTCGTTTGCTTTTTTGATGAAACAGGGATCAGCACAAGGTCCTTGAGGAGACGATTGAACAAAAAAATGAAGTTGACGCCCTATACACCGAACTCAAGCGTTCTTCTACGCCGAGGTAAGTGATCACTGTTTTATAGCACGTTTCGTGTACATTTATGAATCAAGTGCTTTCGAAAACATTTAGAAGATTATGTAATAGAATTAACCAGTCGGGGCCCATTTCTAGGACAGGATTTAGATGGAGCCTGTCACTCAAATTATTATTTAGTAACGTCATAGAAAGGAAAGCTTTGGTTTGACGATCGTTATGTTTCGGCTCATTTCGAATGTTTCTTAACCAATGGGTACTGTAGCAAAACTCTGATACTGAATTCTGAAGACACTGTCAGTTCCCAAAAGAGTCATCTTCAACAATACCACCTCCATCACAAGCATCACGTCCCTCTTGTTATGACGACGTGAGCTGCAGATTCCCGAATAAAAAGAGAATAGTTTGACCTTTCTTCTAAAGGAATGAGTAGCATTTTCTTTCCATTGCTAACTACAATCCTTTTCGCGCAAAAATGCCAGGAATACCTTTTATCGTCTCTTATACAGCCAAAGTATTCCAGTCGCGCTGGCATCCCGACATTCGAGCGAATTTCTTATCGGCCGCCCACATAAATTATATTTCGCGAAAATTGACTACCCAAATGTCATTAAATTTTCTCATTGATTTTCGATGCCCTTATAGATTCAAACGTATTTTACAGAAAACATGCATAAAAATACTTTTTTCTATTACTTATTCGATAGCAAATTGCGTCTTCTTCGGATGTTATACTTTAAGAAAGAGTATCTTCCAATTTTCAAAACCTTCTCAATTCCCGAATAATTTTGATCCCGACCTGTCGGCACACTTGCATTCAGGGTTTCTAAGCTTCAAACTGCATAATTTTCGTCTGAAATATCCTATTTTTCTACATGCTTTTATGAAGAGGTCATAAATGGCTCATAAAATTTTGTAATGGATATAGACCCAGTTGTCTATTTTAGGGGCCACGCTAATAAGCATACTGATGTGATGCCGTATGATCGGACATTTCACGGTCTTGAAAATCTCATAGTGGGAAACTTTTAAAACCGAATAATACGCTTTTCAGGTGCAAAATTTGAAAAAAAGCGTAATCTGCTATCAACTGGGTAAACTAAGAAATATTTTTGTGCATGTTTTCCACTGCAGCTATTAGAATTTATAATTGCATCAAAGATCAATGGAAAAAAACTAATACTATAAAAGTAGTCATTTTTTGCCGAATGTAGTCGACGTAGGCGACTGATAAGAAGCTCGTTCGAAAGCTGGTATCCTGACACGATTGGAATATCTTGACATTATGCGACACGATAATTAACATGACAACCGTACTTAAGTAATCTTTTCAGACTGAAAATGTATTTCAGAACTCCGGTTAGTATTTCATGAGTCCAATGCAAGTCTGAATCTGAGACATGGTCTAATTTCTATACGGTATTAAGAGAAGGCTATATCGGGTTCAGAAAATTAAATAGTCGATTTGAACCATATTGTAAACTTTAAAAGCAACACTAGTAAACGCAGAGACACTGTGTTTTATGAACGGACATTTGGCGCTCTTAAAAAATTCCATAATCAGAGACCTTTTCAAAACCGAATTATACTCTTCTTTCAAGTATGAAATATGAAGACGACGTAATTTCCCACCAAATGAGTAAGGGAAGGGATATTTTACCATGTTTTCCATGAACGTTACTTCGATTTATAGGAGCGCCAAAAATAAATGAGAAAATTCTATATAATATAAGAAGTCATTTTTTACCGAGTGTAGTTTTTGATGGTGGCCGAAAAGAAGTTCGTTTAAGAGCTAACATTCCGAAGTAACTGAATTATTATGGGATTATGCTTTACAGGAATTAATCTTACAACCCCATCTAAGCAATATTTTCGAATCGAACACGCATTTCAGAATTTCGGTTAACAATTCATGAGCTAGCACATCTACTGTACACTAATCTCTTTAAAAATTGCCGGAATAATCTCCAGTCGAGAATCAGCATATCACGGCTTGCAAGTTAACCTGGGTTATTTTCTAAATTAATCAATGTTACAGTAGGATTTAGGGGGTTTGTTTAAAATGAAAGCACGACTAAGAATTTAGCTGGGGTTGTCATCGTCGTCATCATCATCATCCTAACAGTTGAAAATGTTAATGAAAAGAGGCAAGGTCGTTAGCTGGCGCAAGAACTATAAAGATCCGGCGTTACAGGGTTATGTCAGTATCCTTTGCTAGAAAGACCATGATTGGTCATAAGATGGAGTCTGTTGACGTATAGGGAGTGAATCCTGCGTTCATCATAGACTGCTGATTTTGGTAGATGTGTGCGGTCAAGTAGCAAACAAGCGCATCAATCTTGCGTCCCTTGCGAGTCTGCTGCGTGGGTCTATTGATGTCCCTGGCTATGGTCCCAAGAATGAAGCCAAGAGGACAGCCTATTAATGCTCTTGTTTCAGCAATCAAACCTATTTTTCGAAACTCGCCTTTCCTAACACGCGATTCCCTGTTACCACGTTATGCAACGAGCAGTTATACGTGGAGACTCTCAAGTACCATACCACAAACAATATCCTTTGCGATGAACGCCTAAGGAAGGTCCGCCACCCAAGGTTCTGCTGTCACAAGAAGACATTAAATCAAGCAAGCAGGCGCTCGGACGATGTCATATATAGTACAGTAACTGACCTATCTCACGAAGTTCTGAAATTTGATTTCGGTTAATTGGGATTACTTAGGTTGGGTGATAATATTGGCTATCGTGCAGCATAAGCCCAAGGTTGTCTGGTCGCGCCGGGATGTCGGCCTTTGAACGAGTTCCTGTTCGGCCGCCTGAAAAAATTATACTCGTTAAAATGACCACTTCAGTAGTATGCCTTTTATTGATTTTTGATGTTCTTATAAGCCTACTTATATTTCACAGAAAACAGGAACAAAAAATCTTTCTTACACTCATTAGGTAGCACCCACCACTAAAACAGCAGTACCTACATCACCGCAACCAAAACCAATCCTGTAGCTCCCAACCTATCCCAACCTCTCACCTCACGCAATCGGTCTGGTCGGTCACTCGCAAATCCATCCCACGAAGACTGGCGAACCAGTGCCTGAAACAGCGATGTTCAGCAGACACACTCACATAAACTGTCTGAATTGCCTTCACACATTCATTCACCGCATGGGCTTATTCGGTCACATGCGCATTCACGAAAACCTGCGGTAAATCACCGCAGAGATGATCACATCACCAACACATGCATCACACATTCGCCCCTCCGAAATCCCACATCATTGGCACCAGGATCAATTGCAGGCTCACGGTGTGCCAGTTGGGATCCGCGACACACCCCATTTCCGTTATGGTATAAAATCCTGTTCAGTGTCCGTTTTTGACCAGTGGGTGTGGCGGTGAGTCTAGGTGCGGGTTTTCGCCATGCCAACCACTTGCGCCCCCCCCCCACCTCCGATCTTCTTAGCTCTGTCATGGAACCGGACCCAGGTTGGGGATGCCGGGGAAGTGCAATAGATGCTTTGCAAGTCACCCTTTCGCCCTCACCCTGTTGTGGGGCACACGGTAGGCATCGTCGAAGTCAGTAGTCCAGCTGTCAGGTCCCACAGACATGAACCAAAATTTCACAGAACCAGGAGTGCGGTTTGGGTCTCATCCGAGTGGGAGTGCCATAGAGGTCATATCATGACCCGCTGTGTGGGCAATTGGGACCACCACCAACACAGTCTGCATCGTCTCCAGCAGAGGTTGTTGACAAGAGTGGAACGATTGTCTCATCTTCCTTTTAGACCCGCCTGGAGAGATGCGGTCTGCAGCCTGCCCGGTGGAAAAAAGTACTGGAAGCAGCTCGCCCCCCTGAAGTCCTCCAAGGAACGACTTCAAGCGCTGCTTCGAGAATTCCTAAATGAAAGCGAAGGCGAAAACCGCAGTTCCCGGGTAAGCATGAGCAGTTCTCGTCTTTCTGAAAGTGCTCGACTATGGCCAAGCCGAAGCTGAGCGAAAAGTGAAAACTTCTTTATGCAACCACGCACGCGCCGAGTTATGCCGATGGCTATTTTGATGAAACTACAGGCATCCAACAGCATTGTTTATGGCGCAGACTTCTGTGATTCCTCAATGCGCATTTATATTGATTCTACGAATTTTTTTTATCAAAAACTGTAAACTGAAGATTTCTAATAAAATTTAATTTTCCAACTTATGAAGACTCACCTTTCAAATACTGTCAAGAGCGGATGCAGAAAGCCAGTTTACAGTGTTCAATCCTTAACAGGCCCAGACACCAGCTAAGAGCGCCTACACGTGTTACGTCGATTATATGTTAAGCTTCTTACTTTCCTCAAAAACTTGGGAAAATCTTCAGCACAAACCTTCTCAGGCCGAGCCCGAAAGTTAACGTGAGTATCTCGGGTGATATCCATCACCCATAACAGAACAACCAAATAATATTCACAAGATGCCAACAGACAGTCAGTAGTATGTAATTATTTATCAGTTAACCATACTGTTTGCGGGGTACTGGCAAAGATCCAAGACACGCGTTTCGCCGACTTTGTGCGCTGCGCGACTTGGCTGTCAGAAATTTGACTCGTCATTGGGTTCCACATTGGGCTTTCTGGTATATGCTTCAGTTTTAGGCTTTTTAATTTCTCCTAGCGCTAATGTGCGAACTAGGAATAAATCCAAGCAGCGCGGTGGGTTTGAAATGCTGCTATTTTCCCTCTTCAGTCAGCTTTTAAGGTCGGTAAATGACGTCGGGATGGAGTTTCTAAATAGGGGTCACAGTATGGACCCTACGCTCTCAACTGTTATTGGCTGTTCCCCGTATAGACAGGGCGCGGTGGTAAAGCTCCTAAGTAGACGGTTATTCTGATAGGACTCTCTACCAGCTTTAAAATCCTCCTACTCTTACATTTTAGTAGAAAGGTATTTTAAGACGAAACGGGGGGTGAATACTGAATCCGAAGAAAAACCCGACGAGACGACCGAAGGTGTTGGTTCCTGATCATTTTTTTTTCATTTTTCATTGTGAATAGTTTTCTTACGTTATGTTCATTTGGAAGGTTATGCCCATTTTGATCGTTATCAGTTCCTCATTAATGTTTATCTGTTGGTAAATGACGCTAGTGTGTATTTCATGTCGTATCTTTCAGGGAACCGACTCGGCAGTACCGACGATACTGCGCAGCTCTGAACCCGTACTACAGCGCGCACTTCCTATACGGGACCTGCTCCTGCTAGTCGAAGATATCTGGACGAAAAGAAAGACACAACTCACAGAATTCCTCGTAAGTCGAACTTTATTACGCACATGGTTCTCTCTGCCCACTTGAAACGAAGTCCAAGTACCTCACAGATGATCTCTCAGGCACCAAACGATTTTTATTGTCATTTATTGAAAAAAAACAACGTTACCTTCCGGTATTCCCAGCAGTTAATTGGCGTGGGCACTTTGGCCTTAGATGACTGAAGATTGTCCTCTTGGTTACGAGGGAATTTTTCTTTAGATTAGGACTTCCAGCATGTAGAGTCAATTTTACGGGAAAAATAAACCAATTGTTTGGTGCCAGAGAGGTCATCTTTGAGATACTTGGATTTAATCCTAACCGCGAGGCAAATCCTCAGCCATCTTAAGTCAAAGGTGCTCACGCCACTTAACTATTAGGGATACCGGAAGGTAATGTCTTTTTCCAATAAGTGGCAAGAAGAGTGTTAAACTGCAATAATTTATTTTAAAATCAGTAACGTGGTCGCCATAAATATCAGTCACTGTTGTCCATCCTGACGTTAAGTTTTCGATACCGCCTTTGCAAAAGCAAATTTGTTTGGATGCAAAGAGTTCCAACAGTTCAGTTTTGACACCATTGGCACTTCAAAAGGTTTTTTCGGTCAGCTAGTACTGCAGAGATGTGAAAAAATGACACTCATTTGGCTTACGACCAGGTGAAGAGAATGGATGGGGCAAAGGTTTCCACCCTAACTTTTAGGTCTTGAACTGAGTCTGCCGGGATAAACACAGAACAGCACCCTTTCCACGGCAAATGAATGCTTGACGATACTGTAGGTCTACTGTTATGGTCTGGCTTTGTTCCAATAGCACAGAGTGAAGTATGCCTGCCATATTTCAAAAATAGGTCGAATGGTGTTACCGACAAAGACATGGGAGACTGGAGTGGCCATTTCCGGCTTATTAGTCATCGTCAGCCAGTTGTACCCAACCCCGAAGTGTTGAACAGCTGGGGCTTGATCGCCCGACCTGTTAGTTAGAAGTCCATCGCCCCTAACCACTGAACTACGGGTTCGTTGTCTTGTGGCAAGACTTTCTTACAGTATGGGCTTATCTCAACTCAGAAACTGGTGTCTGGCCTGTGAAAAGCCCTCGGTGTTGTTTGGATCGGTTATTAACTTAAAGAATACATTTTTCATCGCAAGTGACGACTCGAGGAACGAACGGTTCCCCTCTCCAGTCTGCTTAGCAGAGCGTTACCGGTAGTTTTGTTTTCTATCAAAAGTTGGTGTCCTTGTGACCAAACTTCCTCGTCCTATCTATCACTTGTTCTTTTGAACAGTAGATCACGACGAACCTAATTTTTTTGATAATTTCTCGATGATTTGACGAAGATCTGCCTCAAAATCATTAGGCATCTCCACTGGTCTTCCCAGACAAAGAGCATCACAGAGGCCGAAGTGCCCGATCGAACCAACGCTGGCACTTGTGTCCATCTGAAGCACTCAGATAAACATCACACATTGTTTTGGTGGCGGTTGCTGTGTCGTTTCCCTTGCGCAATTCATACAGCATATGATTAGCACGACAACCTTCGGATTTTAGGTCTCCTATTATTGAGACCAAATCCTACAAAAAGAAAATTTGCATTCAAAATCTAAACAGGAGACCTAACTCATTCGCAAAAGACACACAGTTCAAATTGGGCATATATAAACACTTTGAATATAGCATTAAGGATAAGAACATGAAAAAGACACCGCTTGCTGGCACCTTAAATACTTTCGTGGCAACGATGTGGAGAAGGACCCTAGTTAACTGACGTCAAACTGTGGATCACGTCATATGGGCTTTTATCACTCAAACTCTTTTGTTTTTTAAAGTTTACTTTTTGTTTATTTTTCATAACCGCAGTCATTTCTGCTGTCGTACGAAACAGTGTGACGAGTCTTTCGGGAGAAACCCAAACAATTTTTGCGTTCTCCCGCATTTTGTCAGCTTACTGTCTAGTACGCTGCCTCACCCGCAAAACTCCCCTTACAACCAATCACGTATGGCACGATCCACCGTCAGCCGACAGTAAAGTGGTGTCCTTCTCCATACGGCTGCCCTTTAAGTAAGTTACTACTAGTATAAAAAGAAATGTTCAGGCTAAAATCAATAGTCACATCAACAAAATCTCTTCTGCAGGCGAATGCGCAGACACCGGATGCGAAATATCAAAGTGGAACGAGGAGAATTTGAAAAGAGAAAAAAAATTCAAATTGAAGTTCAGGAGGATACAGTAGATGTGTTATCACGTTAAATGTTAACTAAAATTCTGGAAGCCGTTGTCGACTAGAAAGGGTTACTTAGGTAGAGTTGCGATAGTAATTATCTTGCAGTATAATCCCGCCACGATGCCGTCTTCGAATAAGGTTCTTGCCAACCACCTCCAAAAATACACTACTTACGTGGTGTTTACTTTTCCCATTGATTTTCGATACTCTTATAAATTCAAACATATTTTATAGAAAACATGCAAAAGTACATTTTGTTATCGCCTTTATGTGACAAAAACTTCGCCTTTCTCCAAATTTATGCATTAAGAAAGGGCAGTTTTCTGTTTTCAACAATTTCAAATTATGAGGTTTTTAAAGATCGCAAAACATCCATTAATAAAGCATCACATATATATCCTGTGTACCTACTGGAATGCAAGCAGCGTTTGGCGGGCCCTTTTAATCACAAGACTACTCAATGTGTGTTTACTGAGGTCAAGTTAATAGCTTTATTCACATCTTTTGCAAGAGCACTTCTGATACTCATGGAATATACGAACGTATTTGGGACAAGTAAAACACCTTTTTTCTTTAAGTTCCGAGGAAATTAATAGGCGAAGTTAATCCTTTGGAACGAACCTTTTCAGGCGCGGTCCGAAATCTGATATGAATATTTGGGTTAAAAGCCGTCAGTCACTACGAAATAACCGCGTAATATTCACAAACCGTCAACGGGCAGCCAGTAATACAGAATTGTGTTATTATTTGTCGTACTGACAACACAGGTATTAGTTTAAAGCTTTAAGCTAGTATCGATATTGTTAGTACGACAAATAATTACACAAAACAGCATGTGCCCAAGCCTAAAAATATGTGGACATTAAGTTGTGCGTGCATTCAGGTGGAGCTCTTTAAAAGTGTTTAAATTAAACCGTTTGGAGCGAAAATATTTTATCTATAGAGCACCAAAAACCTTCACATGTATAAAAGATGACTTTATTAATTATGTACAAAAGAGCAGGCTGCTTTCATGTGACTAGGGGAAAACAGCGATCGACATGACCTACTGTGGCATTGGAGTTGTCTAGACGCTTTTTTCACACTTATCAGCACTGCAATTCCAATCATGTACGCCTTACTATTTTAAAATATATTTAAGAAGTTAGATTATTGGATCCAGGGATTCTGCGCATACCGTATGGGACAACACGTCCCCTTGTCTTCATGAGCTTCACTTTGCATGTGTCAAGACTCTCCGAATTTAAGTTACTGAATTGATGAGCTGGTGACTGCTAAATTTGGAAAATCAGATGTTCCTCACTCGTCATTTTGTGGAAAAATCTGCTTATCTCCAAAAAAATACGTCTTTTTTTCCCAGCTTCTCGAAACTATCATGCCATTGCTAATTTCAGGATAAATGCGCCCCCGAGGATGGATCAGAGCAACCATCGCTGTCATCCTTCGATGAATTCCTCGCCAACTATTTCCAGACGAGTTTTGGTCTACCGACACTCCGCAGGGAGTGGGCCTACGCGCTTTACAACAGCGCGGATTACTACAGCGAATGCGAGGAATTAGTTCAGCTTCGGAAGATTATCGACAATCAGGTATCATCCATTTAGTTGTCCTCTTTCTGAGGTGTCTAGCACCGCACATATGGTTGCGAGTATGATGACGAGTATGATGATGATGATGATGTTGTTGTTGATGGTGATGATGATGGTGGTGGTGGTGGTGGTGGTGGTGGTGGTGGTGGTGGTGGTGGTGGTGGTGGTGGTGGTGGTGGTGGTGGTGGTGATGATGACGACGACGACGATGGCGACGACGAAGACGAAGATGACGACGATGGTGGGCATGACATTCCTGGTGGTGGTGGTGGTGGTGGTGGTGGTGGCGGCGGCGGCGGCGGTGGTGCTGGTGCTGGTGGTGGTGTTTTCAGGGAGTTCTCCCTTTTTAGAATTGCCAAGCCTGCCGGGTTCTGCAATAACTGAAAAAGTCTTACTGATATCTCTAAGTAGAAGGGCATTTTAACGTAAAACGGGAAGGGCCGTCGCCAGAGCCACGAGACGTGAGGCTCAAGCCTGAATATGAATGCAAGCCTTTTGATGTAATTACGCACATTTCTTAGGTGTACAACTATAAGACTGCGAACCAGTATCGAGTGAAAATCCACGATAACTGAAGACCTTATCTTGATTACACGCAATCGAAGTTCAAGTGTTCACCTTTAAAGCAAGGGCGAGTTTTTTTACTTAGAAATGCTAACTTTCAGCGTAAAATGGTTAACGCATTTATCTTTCCTAGAATTAACTATTTTTCGACTAACCGTTCAGTCAAGTCAGAAACAGATAATGTTGGTTCGTGTTCGAACGGACAGAACACGGCAACTATCATTAAGTCAAGCTCAAATATTAAAGGCTAGGTGCAGAAAAAAACCGTGAAATGCAGTCCTTTTCATCAGGCATTTAAAGGGGACTCAAGACAACTATACGATCTGTTGCAAAGGATGATAAAATGGAATGCTTAAGAGGCTACTGTTATGCGCTGTAACACCTCCAGCTTGAAAACCGATGGGCTGCAGTATTAAGCAGCAACTCGGAGATTATCAGTGGCTTAAAAAAGAAGGAAATCGTATCGCTTGTGCCCAGCTTTGCAGATTTGTATCCCGGGTTTTATTTGTCATCGAGAGTTTAGGGCACTGAGATGGCTTCAGTCGCCGCCGTGTTTGGAACTACCGCATAGCGGTCGGAAGGATAATGGCTTCTGACTCATTCATAGCAAGTATTTATCTCAAGACTTTGGATTGCCGCAGGAGGTTATGGGGTGAGGCACATAGTTCTCCTGAGAAAAGTAAACGTGATCCTGCATTCAGCTGCCTAGCAAATACCGCCCTGACATAATGATAGATTAACTAGGGATATTTTTCCATCTTTTTCTTTGTTTTTCTGTTTTTGTACTTTTTGTATTCTCTCTTCTTTGTCAACGTGGTCGTCCTGCCCTTATTGTTATAACGTTGGAGGAAGGTGAGCCGATAAATACATGGGAGAATGGGATGGCCATTTCTGGCGTATTAACCGTCGTCAACCAATCACACCTAACTCCATTTTTGGATAGACCGGGATACGAACCCGGTTTCTTCGGCCATCCAACATTAACTTCAAAGCTCCGCCACAGTGCCACTGGCCTACTGTCCCCTTGGTTGCCAACGAGAATGTTTAATATCGTGAGAAGAGCGTCCATTGATCAGGTTGCGGGAAGTGTGCATCCTCTTGCGCTCTGGGGGCTCAAACGGTTCGAATCCCAGGCCACGTAAACCTGGGTTTGGGTAGGATTGACTGATGACGGCCAGTAACCCAAAAACGGACATCCAGTTTCTCTTATCTTTGTCGAAACTCCTTCGTCCATATATTTCTGGCCGCTATGCAGCCACCTGCGATGACTCGGGGGCACGAGCATGCCTCGCATCTTGACCGGTGACCGCACTTCCTGCGGTAGTTGTAATTTTTATATTACTAAAATACTTACTGACTGCGTTATACAGAGTTTACGCACGATTTTGGCGTCTTGATATTTAGGATATATCTCACCAAGTAAGGAAAATAAGCTTCTGACTCGTAGTAAAAGGATTCAGACCGTATATACCAGTGGCCAAAAAATAGCCCAAAAGTACAGTCACAGTCTCTGCTTAAGTACTGCTTCGTTTAGATCGCTCATGCGTAGGCTACCTAACCATGGTGCCGTTGTGTTTTTGCTTAGAATAGACTGCCATTCGCATTCACCGAGAGGTTTCAGTTAGCATCAAGCCAAGCCAGGAACATAAACAATTACCAATCGCTGACAAATAAGGCTATGTTTAGCAGTTCACCTGAGAGTCGGTGGTCCCTCGCACCCAACCTCTCCGCCAAAAAATGAGGTGTTTTAAGTAAGCCAGATAGATAGGGAACGGGGGTGCTGATGGCATTTCAACGAACGAAACAAATCTACAACGCGGCAGTCTACTAAATGAGCCTCCTAAGACTGTATCCAATATGGGAATTTGGTTAAGCACGCTCTGTGGTTAGACTCTGGACGACCGCTAACGCTGTCTATGGACTGTACAGAAGTTTTTATCCAAATATCCGATAAAGGATAGCATTGCATTGCATAGTATTGCCAAGGGCGACAATGGCAGTCTATCTACCTGTAAATACCTGTAAATACTATCAAACGACGGCTGCATTCCACCACTGAACGGACATACAATGCAGCCGAACTCGTATTATGCAGTCTTACTAATCCTCTTCCGATTTTACGGGCAAAGGATGCCTTGCCAATGCACGCCCTTCAAATTGAGTTTATGAATTTACATGCACTTGCGGATGCAAGTACATTGGGCGAACGCAAAGGCAGTTGGCAGCCAGGTCTATTGAGCACCTGCACAGATGGCTCCTAAAGCAAGAAAATAAAATCTCGCGTTCCTCCATTACGAAACACCTGCTTGATAGTGGTCACTCCGTCGACCCCGAAACTTCCTTTCGAGTACTTTTTCGGGCACGAACGACTTGGAAATTGCGTAACCTAGAGGCGGCCTATATACAACGGGTGAAACCAGATCTTTGTAAACAGTTGGAACACATGGTTAGCCTAACATTGCCATGGTAGCCACTAGCTCCATGATTTCTCATTCCCCTCTCCACTTTTGCTCGTTAACGTCCCCTTTTTTCTTTTTTCACTATTCTTTCCATACGGTGTTTGAGTTACTAAGTTTATCGATTAGCCAGCTTTACCCAACACCATGACCTTGCTGTTTCTGCATTGATTTTCTGCCCAAATTCAAATCTTTTGCATTCTTCCCACTCGTTATCTATGTTATGAAGCGACAGGACGTAGCCGACGAGCCGTCGCGAAATTTTTTGGTACCATTAAATCCTGCCCTGTTTGCCTACTTCAGATGGTAAGGATTATTAAAACTAAGGTCGCCAGAGAGAGCAGCACTTTCCGTCATGGTCAGCTTCAGTTGAAGATGACGAGACGTCATATATACTGTGATGTTTACATTGAAAAACAGGCATCCCAAGAAATATAATTAGAAAGGTGATGTTTACCTTCCGGTTGTGGTGTGTACGGACATTCTCGCATTTTCGCCTGCATCGACAAGCAAGGGTCTTTTAAGTCACTGGGTTGGGACATCCCATTCCAGACTAAAATCAATGCCCTGTTTAATTTCGGCGCGATGTCTCATCTTCACATATCTGGTGATCTTCGCATTCTTAACGCCGCCTTTTTTTGCTGAAAGATGGACGAGGCCTACCACTGGTATCTGGACTCCCTAATTCGGCGAGCTTTCAATAAACTGAAACAGTTGGCTCATGCCACAGCCATCGCCTCCACAGTTCCTGACAACGAAAAGCCTGAAACTCCCGGCGCCAAGATGGTTCTGTCGTCGAAACGCAAGGCCAGCCGTCAGCTGTCCATTTTAACGCCGGAGAACCTGCAGACCTGTTTGAGCCGACTGTTGCAATGTGACGCCAAGCAGGCCTCCGTAGTAGAGCTGGTGCGTTGCGCATTCACCGAGCATCGATCGGTTCCGGACGAGGAGGGAGCCAATGAAAGCGTCGTGGTCATCTCACCTGATGCGACGGTTTCCGTCGAGGGCCTATTCGCGAAGGTAAGGCTATGCTTTGTACAATGCACCCACTGAGATTTAACCTGCCCCCTCGTGATGAGTTTCCTTTGTTGTTAAATCGATGCGATCAATTTCTGCAAGAGGAAAGGTGGATTTCAAATAAATCAATAATTATTAGCAAGTCGTACGCACACATAGCAGAGGGTAAAGCGACCTACGTATTACCTCCCATGGTTCCAGTGTTTACAAGCCACGCTGCTAAATGCGCCTTTATGTTTCAGACTGGTTACTCACTGAAGTTCAGGAAGTGGTTGAATATCAATCCTAAAACTGAGTAACGTCAAGAATCTATTGATCAAATGTAATCTTCAACGTACATGGGATAGATGTAACCTTATAAGACTCTTGGTGAAACACTGTGATTATTTGTCCTTGTTATTCGCATTTGAGCAATTGGGATCCTGGTTTCCGGCGGGACGGTACGATCAGGTTTAGCTTAGGCAAGCAGATTGGCTTGGGTAAGGTTCAGGTTAGCGGCTAGGGTGAGGGTTAGAGTTCAGGTCAACTGATTAGCATGGAGTATTGGTTAGATGGAGGGCTGAATCTAACTCTAACCCGTCACCTAACCCCGACTCAGGTTCTGATCGTAAGCCTTATTCTAGCATTAGTCCTAATTACCGAACACTTATCGCCTAACCTCGCAGCCGACCGCAAACCTAAATCAAACCTAACTCCAGCTCTAAACTTACCTATACCTCTGGACTTTTTCCTAATTCCACTCCCGGCAGCAAACCTGATTCTAGGCCCAGCCCCGTTGTTATTTTAAACTAAACCTAGTTTAATGGTCCCCTGACGGACGGTTCGAGCCCAGGCTACTCAAGTAAATAGAGTAGCTAACAAAACTCTTAAACATTTTTTTACAACCCGCCTGCACTACGTCAATTTCATGCAAGGTTAATGTTTTGCATCTTCACTAAGACAGCGACAAGTTTTTGTTCCTGCGCAGCCCTGCACGACAAAAGGCCTAAACAATCGTTCAATCAATCTCGTTGGACCACCTAATGTTTTCATTAATCTTTCGCAGCCGTCTTGTTCGATTGTATGCATTTAAATCAGTTTTGCCCACGAGCGACTCGCAGTCTCCTCTAGGTCTCTTGGCTTTACAACTACAGTGAGTGACCGATCTCATGAAAAGTTGGCCGAAATTCTGAAGTGCGTTTTCGATTAGGAAGGATTACTTAGGAGGGGTTGTAATACTGATCATCATGAGGCAAAATCCTATAGTAATTAAGACTCTCCCGGATGTAATCTTTTGATTGAGCTTCTTTTCGCTCCCACTTCAAAAACTATACTCGGTTAAAACTGACTACTTAAGTAGCATGCATTTTCTCTATTGATTTTCGATGGTCTTGTAAATTCAAATATATTCTATGGAAAACATGCACATAATATGCTTTCTTTTACTCCTTCGGTAGAAAATCACATTGTCTTGATATTTTATATCCGAAGATAGTGTATATTTAGGTTTTAAAAAAGTTTTACAATTCCCGACTAATTTTGAGTCTGATCTGCCATTGCATTAGCGTTTGGCAATTTCAGTCTACAAGGTGCACGCTTTTCGCGTAAGGCAAATCATATGTTCCTCTATGCCTTTAAGAAGGTACCACATAGAGTTCCTTAACTTTCGCAATGGATCCGGAATGTGTTGTGCATTTTATAAGGAGCATTGCTAAACGGACTGGTGCGGTCTTGTATGCATGAACATCACACGGCCTTAAAAATCTCCTTATTAGAAACTCTTTTAAAATCCAAATATACACTTTCTTCGGGTATGAACTATCAAGCCAATGTGATTTTCTACCAAAGGAGTAAAAGAAAGCATATTATGTACATGCTTTCTATAAAATGCATTTGAATTTACAAGGCCATCGAAAATCAATAGGAAAAATGCATGCTACTTAAGTAGTCATTTTTCACAAAGGGCGTTTTCGGCAGGAGGTCAAAAAGGAGTGCATCCAAAAATCGACATCCTAGTGAGTCTGAAATGCTATAGGCTTATGCTGCATACTTATCATTATTACAACCCCCACCTAAGGTATCCTTCGTAATTGAAAACGCATTTCAGAATTTCGGCCAACATTTCATGAGATGGTTCACGCACTATGCCAAGTTTGTCAGTTACAATTATTTATTTTCTATGCCTAAGAGGTTTATCTTGCAGTTGGTGTATAAATGTGGTTCGAGCTGCGTTTGGCTCGCCTTACGCAATAGAGATAAGGGAATATCGATTATTCGCAGTTGACATTCTGCACTCGATTCTGTCCCAGTGCATCTGTTTTCGGATTGTGCGGGTGTTGTACTTAACCCCCTACCCCCACGAGGAGTCACGCTGTAGATGCACCGGATCAGCACAGGCGGTCGGATTGGCTAGTGGAACGCGTCAACCGGTTTGCGCCGAGTCCACGCCAGACCATAACTATTGCCACAACACATGGAGGGGTGTAGCGTGACACGCCTAGGCGTGGGCTTCACACTACTTCAACCACTAAGCCTAATCCCAGCGCGAGATGGCCCGAAAGGCTCAACACTGGGACTCTATCTCAACGGCACAGCAGCTCATTCCTCACTAGAATACAGTAGACGTCAAGAGTCTACAAAAGTACCCGTAATTATGCCTCAAGATGATTAGTATTGCAAACCCAGTAAAATAATCCATTCTGATCAAAAATACTTTTCAGAATTTCAGTTAGCGACTGAAGAGATAGGCAAGATAGTGTATATACGTTTATTTTCCAAAATAACATAGCTACAACTCAAATTTATATGGGTATCACAATCAACGGTAAAAATTCATGCTACATGAGTAGTCCTTTTTTACGAAATATAGATTATGTAGGCGGTCGATAAGGGTCCCATTCGAAGGCCGGAATCTTAGCGTAGTTAAAATGTCTTAACATTCTGAGACATGATAACCAATATTACAACCCTACTTACAGTAGGTGGGCCAACTCATGAAATGTCAACCGAAATTGCGAAATGCGTTTTCGTTTTGAAAAGATTACTTAATTTGGGTTGTAAAACTGATCATCATGGAGCATAATTCTATAATGATCCAGTTACCTCAAGGGTTCGGCTTTCGAATGAACTTATTTTCGACTGCATGCAATAACTATACTCTGCAAAAAATGACTGCTTAAGTAGCATGCAATGTCCTCGTTGATTTTCGATTCCTTTAAGAGTTCAATTATATTTCATAAAAATGCATAAAAATATTCAGTCATTTACTTAATCGATAGAAAATAACGTCTTCTTTCAATTCGCTGCTCGAAGGAGGGGCATAATTCGGTTTTAAAAAGTTGATAATTGTGGGATTTTTCAATATTGTGAAATGGCCGCGCATAAAACGTCATGTCTCTGCTTTTAGTAATGTGGCTTGCACAGTTAGCAATGTGGCTCAAACGCACTGCTAAATTTTATGAACCCCATGTGGTCTCCTCTTAATACCGTAGAGAAATATATGGTTTTCCGTATGCCGAAAATATACGGCTTGTAGTTTTGAAACCCTGAATCCATGTGTGACTGTAGAGCGAGTTCAAATTTATTCGGGAATTAGAAAAGTTTTTTTTAAAACCGAATTATACCCTTCCTTCGAGTATAAGATTGGAAGAAGACGTTATTGTCTACAAATGAGCAAGAGAATGAATATTTTTGTTCATTTTTTTCCATGAAATATAACTAAACCTTTAGGAGCATCGAAAATCAATGAGAAAAATTCCTGCTGCGTAAATAGTCATTTTTACAGAGTGTAGTTTTCGCATGCAGCGGGAATTTCATTCGAAAGTCGGCATCCTGAGGTATCTGAAATATTCTTGAATTATGCTGCAGGTTGACTAGGTTTACAAGCCTACTTAATAAATCTTTTTGAAACGAAAACGCAGTTCGGAATTTCGGTTAACATTTCATGAGTTAGCCCAACTACTGTATGTCCGACCCAGGAATCATGGACACTGGGGCTTTTCTCCTTCGAAATGTATGATTTAAAATGCCTCGGACCAGTTTGGTTTGTCACTTTGGTTCATCCTACGGATGGCTAACCAAATTATTCTTTCCAGTGTACATTTCGAAGTCATACAGTGATTGTAAAGGCTTATAATGCATTTGCTGTGTATCTTAGACAAGCGTTAGCTTATCAAAGATTCACCAAGGGAGCTTGCAATGCTGGCAAACATTGAAAATGAACCAAAGCTAATTCATACATAGTGATCTGCTGGATATCGAGGGAGAATCATTCCAGCCTCGGAGCATATTTTTTGCTTGTTTTTGCTTATCTTTCCTCGAGAAGCTCATTAGAAAGTCCCATTTATTGTGGTTTTGACGGAAAGTAGGCATAGTTGAAAAGAAATAATTCTTGAACTTGTCTCGCCAGCACTACTCATACACTCGCTTCAAATTTATTTGACTCAAGGTCACTGAACAGGGTCATACATTGATGTTGGACAAACGGTCCTGTTCGTATCTCAGAAGGATGGTGATTAATCAGACACATTAGATAATTCCTAAGTTCACGTCTGGTCCATCCGATTCTTGTGAATCTTTGAAGAAGAAAAGCAAAATTTTGAGGGCTTGCATTTACCGGTGTTCGTGTGGTATTCCATTTTTCCCTTTTCAGAAACCGGGACAACCGCAACCTGACTTCGTCAACCTTCTTGTAGAACGACTAGAAGCGGAAAGGAAGGCAACCATAAACCATATAATTATGGAATTACAACGTCATAAGAGGTCCTCAGCGTACGTAAACGCCCTTTTATTATTTCGAAGGAGATTTTAGGCCCTTATAACACTTTACGAACTATGAAGATCCCGGTCAGACGGAGGCATCTGAGATCTAACTAAGACGTTACAAACCGAACTTTGGGTATCTCGTGGAGAATTGAACTAGAGCCACTGAAATTTGAAGTATGATGTTAATTCATACTCTTTTACTGCGTGATAAACGTGCATTCAATACTTGAGTTCGCACGTAGGTGTTTAAAAGACTGGATTAGGTTAGCCACCGTTACGGAGAACTGGTTGCGTCTGTATGTCTAACTTGTTGAAAACCTGCTTACGAAAATGAACGCATCTACGGCCCCTTTTTGTAAGATTCTTATAGGTACCGTGACATCAGTCGGATGGCAAAACGACAACTCTCGAAATAACTGACGGAACAGTCATTTTAATCGTCACCTAAATGATGGGAAAGTGAAATTCTAGTTTGATATGACCTTGGACACTCTCATTCAGCCCAAAGAAATGTTTGAAGTCGGAAAGAAAACGATACTCACGCCAGAACTCCTAGGTACAAGACGACAGTGGAAGCATTGGAGTTTTCGGCCAGCGAGCAGAGTAAATATTTTCGACCGTCAGCGCACTTGCTACATTCATCTTATTCGACAGTGCGACTGGATTCTGAACACCACTGTCCGGGTCAGATGCGCACGAAACCATACGTTCCTACCCGACCCTGGTCATACCTTCAAGACTACAATTCAACTCATTTGTAGCTGGTCGACCGGGCCGATACGTTGCATGATTACTATAGGCCATATCAGTACGCTTCTGATGGCTGTCGTCTACATTCTGGCAGCGTTCGCATTGTAGTGGGCATTAATATTTTCGACCATGACGAACAAAGACTGAAACGTTGATTTACTCTGGAGACAGGTGAGAGGGTGCCGTTGGTGATGATAATTCTATTTTTTGTAGTGGGTACTTAACGCTTTGGGGAGTCCAAATGCGCCCGTCGAAGCGAATCTGCAGTCTGACGGCCATGGGCGCGGTCGTTTTAGCCTGCACACTTCGGATGCCGAAAAGAGATTTCCATTGGTTCAACAGCTGACGTTGACTTCAATCCAGTTTGTACGGTTTGTGTTCCGTCCACACGGCAAAGAACAAGAGACCGGAAGGGGTGGGATAAAGGATACAACCGTACTTTGCATCGCCTGTCATCTTGAAGGGTTCTCAGACTGATAGGCTTGTGGAGTTGCAATGTTTATGGCATCCGCATCATCCTTCAAAACGGAAGTCTCATTCCAGACATGCCTTCAGGCGACTGAGAAGAACGAGGAGAGATGCAGCCAAAATCCACTTCGTCGAACCGTCTTTACTTGGAAAAGTGAGTTCCACTGAGAGCCGCAATACCCACCCTTTATCAAGTCAGTTCGCTGGCGATCAGGACTGTCCACCTGGAGTATTTCAAAAGCGTACGCGGCCTTTGGGTTAAAAAGACAGATCCCAGTTTTCATTCCTAAAACTCGGCAGTGTTGGTGACGGGTGGGTGATCTAAAATGTCAAAATTTCCCTTAACATCAGTGGGCAAATATTTGGATCTGTGAATCAATACTTTTGTACAAGAAGTAATCCGCCTTTCGATATACAGTACGTGACTTATCTCATGAAATCTGATAACGGAATCTGATGGGAGAATTTCTGGACGCCTTCAACGTTGTGCATCTTGTTCGCTCATCCACTTCCTTCAATAAAATGTCCTTTTCTTGTGCAGGAATTGTGTTAACGCAATTATATCAAGTAAAATATCAGTAAATTTTAGCGAAAACGAACCTTGAAATATATTCGTGCAAGTTCCTATGCTAATACATGTCAGTTCTATTTAAAGTTATCAGGCACCGACCGGCCTCATAGCATGTCACCTTATGAAAACTTCTGTTCCTACGACGTCCCCATCGGTGAACTTAAGCAAAATCCAGTTTCTCTTGTTGAACCCCACCTCATTTACATCAAAGAAATAAAATTAAAAGCGACACATTGGAAAACTGTTTTGGAATCTGCACTCGGAATGTTGGCAGTTGACAACCTGTCATATATGAAATCACACTACTTATTAAACGATATTTAGATGTAAACTTCAATATAACACTGTTATTAGACGTTATTGTATGTCTACTTTCATATTTACTGCGTTTTTAGTATGAGAATACAATCCGTACATCTAAAAACGAACTTAACTTAATTAGAGCCATTTCTGACGTTTTCTTGATATTTAGCTTTTCAAAATAAATCAGCATTTCTAAACAACGCAACACTGCCTTTAATGTTTCTTTTATATTTTTAATTCTTTTAAACTTGTAATTAATTAACATAGAAATCGGACTCATGAAATGGTGTCGGTTTGCGGGTGATTGGCAATCATTCGTAAATTTTGACACATTTCATGAGTTAGGTCACTAACTGTACGCTGGGAGATCTGGTAGCGAGAAGTTCTGTTTCAAAGTACCTTGTAAGTATAGAGGTTTGGGTGCAAGCCTAAAGGGCAGCTCTAGTTCGCCTTAATTACCGTCATCTACAACACTTCACTTAATGTCTACAGGTATGGAAGTTAATTATAGGCGTCACTAGATCATTCTCAGTCATTTGTTCAGTTGGTTTTTATGAAACCTTTCATGAACTATGTAAGCAATCTGAGCAGAGTGTGGTTGGACGGGGGGAATAAATACCCCTCCCCCATACCATAGGTGGTCTTACGCCAAGTTCCCGGAAGCAGCTATTCCTGTGCCTTCACTTTGACCCTAACCCCGACATTAACCCTAACTCTTCTAGTCCCAACCCCAACGCCCTCCAAAATTTGGCGCAAAGCCACCTGTTATACTTATTTTCGTGCCTTACGACCATTTATGCAAAATCAAAATCAACTATGAAGAAACGCAGTGTACTACTTTAATTTACATACGAGAACTAGCGAAAACACATTACTTATAGGGCGGTAATTACTGCCGTTCCCTAACCAGGACGTTTAAGAGGCTCTAATCTCACTTGCTGGCTGAGTCACCGCGGACGGCTTTGCTTGCGATTTGACCTGATTCTCGCAACATACAGAGTCCATTTAGTTTGCATCAGAACTATTTGAGTGCTGATGCCTTATTTTTATGTACATATGGGATGTCCTCATCTCACACATCAGTCAAACCATACTTGTAATGACACACACAAAAAGCAGATCTTTGGAAGTCGACGTACTTTACTGCACTGAAGATACCGCCTCTCTCCCATTTCATTTCACCAATCAGAGACGCAAATTACGTGGAGCTGCCGGAGCTGCTGGAGGCGCTGAGGTCTGTCCGTCCAGAATACGAAAAATTGCTAGCTTTCTCCTCAACCCCACACTCGGCCGCTCCATCCAGGGGACCCCCGTCTCCGGGCGGCTCTGTGGAATCAGAACGGCCGTATGGTGAGTATTCCTGTGAGCTGGATGAGACGGGAGCAACCCAGCAGGAGCAGGCGCTTGCTCTAGCTTGGTGCAAATCTTCGCAACCGAAAAACTACCTTATGGCCACACTCAAGTGGGTGCTTCAAGAGCAGTACACTCATGAGATCGAGGATCCGCCTGATGGAACCAGGCTGCCCATCGAAGTGGTCAACAGACGACTGGTAGGCGCAAACATCAAGTCCAGGGACTTGCTAACGGGCATCCAACAACCCTCTGACTGATCATGCGGAAGAAAACTTTTTAACTATTTTGCACTTTAAATAAACAATCTGCTGCACCTCGCTCGGCCTTATATGAATGGAAGAGTTGGTAGTTCGACCCTTAGTCATGGCATTTTCGGGCATTCCGGTCTTAAGTGTGCTTTGACGTGGAAACTCTGTTTCGACTAATTATCCAGCACTGAAGAATGTGGCATAAACCGTAATCTTAACTGATATACCGAGGCGCGTTCAAATCAAGAATATGCCAGGACAACGGGTTCGATCTCACCCCGGATCAGATTGTCGTTTAGGGTAAATTCGAGGAATCGTGGTTTGTTCGTGTGAGTTTTCCGGTCATTTTTCGGGTTCCCCCACCCCAGAGATATGAAAAAATCAACAAAGCAAATAGGTTACATAGTGAAGCGGTCAACCGTCGTGGTCACCAACACATACATTGCACACAAAACCGTTCCTCGCCGCTCAGCGCAAGCACGGAATAAGCATCTCTCGCGCAAGTAGAAATCGTGCTCTCTGGCAACCTTTACATGTAGGCCCCATGATGTCATAACACATGGGAGCTCGACCCGCTCACCCAGCTCGTGTAGGACCCCGGTTGCGTGTGCGGCACACGCAGACGAACTGTCTGGCTCTCTTAACCGCTGCACCCAATCCCCGCATCAGTTGACTTGAAAAGGGAAGAGAATGTGAGATTGGCTGCCAGCGTATATTCCTCATCACAAACAATTCGAGCGCTTGAAATTATCACGTTGTTCTAAAAGTTGTGGGGTGGACGGCCTCAAAATGACGAGTTACTCGATCCTTCTCACGGGCTGGAGAGTTGGGGTGCAATGGCCCGGTCTTAATGTAGCCTCTGTGGCTTTCTCACTCATTCGGGATTCCAGCTGTCCCCTTTTTTATTATATGGAATCCTGGTTATTTTTCGTGGATTTAGGGATGGTGGAACGCCTAAGCACGGGTCCACGTCGTGCCAACCACCTGCACCCTACCCTGCCTCCGCGCTTCTTGACTCTGTCTTGACGCTGTGCTCAGGTGGATGGGGCAGGAGAGAGTGCCATAGAACCAGTGCAAGTCTACCATCACTATAAATCAAGTCGGTCGGTCGACTGTCAGTTGCTGAGGAGCTTACTGCAAGTAAACATCGAGCAGACCTTAAGCTGACTAGAGCAACTGCAAGGAAAAATATAAAAGGCGGAAAAGTCCAGAAACAGAGTAATGTATTGAATGATATTTCGAAAGTCTCTGGCACGAAGAAAAACCGAATATTTTGAAATGTCATCCAGTATATCACCCCACTTTGAACTTCCAAAGTTTCAGTATCAGTATTGTGTTACCTAGTGTCTGGAATTCCAGTGACCCTACTAATTACTGTTATACGCTAAAAGCCGTGAGTATTTTGAATACATCTTAGTGCCAGGATTTCGTGTAACCGCAAAACGGGCCAGCACGGGGGCTAAATCTGGACCTAACAGGTGTTTTTTGGAATACGCACTCATACCAAGTGCCAACACTGCGGGTGAAGCAGCACACCCAGGTGCAGGCTCTCAGTGCACCAGTCGAGGCCTCACACAAACACACACACACACACACACACACACACACTGGGCAGACAGCTACCAACTACCAGAGGGAGAAACCTGAGGACACCGTTGGTGAATTGAAACCCTTACGGTCGACTGATGCAGCAGCAGAAAATCGGTGGCATGGAAGGTTGGAACCTTAGGTATTACTTGTTCCGGTAGCTTGTCTTCCAAACGGACTGAGTTGTAGAGGCGCTGGGCTAACATGGTTGGGGACCAGATGAGGGGGGAGCAGGAGTTAAACCGGACTGTGCACACCCCCTGACAAGTCTCACACACTGGGGAATGTGGTAGCACGCGTAGGCGAAGACTTTACGCCGTCCCAGCCAATAGCGCCCAATCTACGCATCAGATGGCCAGGACAGCGGTCTTGTGCGGGAGAGAGGGAAGAAAGGGTGACTTCAACTCAGGGACCCCCACTACCTCCCCCCTCTCCGACACTTCAGCGCATTCCCTAATAATGACCAATCTGGCGCGCCTCGAAACTATCACAAGACAGAAAAAGTCGTGGCTCTGTGAAGGCTGCCAACTTTAAGGATGGCTTTGTTCTCTCGGGAAGGAGAGTTAGGCAGGAATGGCTTCTTTACATTCAATAGTTTCTATCCTGCAAATCGGTCCGAACTTAGATGATGGAACGCGGTTGATAATGACGTCAGAAGACGTTACCAACTGCTAGAACTGAGAATGGAGTCCCGCGACCGTGTCCTGCATGACAGGCGATATACGGGTGAATTGTCCTTCAAGTGTCTCGGCAGGAATAACTACTGTTTTCGTTCGGCTCACTGCAAATCACAGTCTCAGACAATTTGCGTGGAATCCTTGCCTACGCTCCCAGATCACTATTATTAGTATGCTATTCAACTTTAGGTCGAAAGACTGGAGCTAATCATTTAGTTGTTCAACTTCCAAACAGAGAGTGGGGGTATGCGGATGTGAGTGAAACAGAGAGATGTATAAACCAGTACCGTTACCGGCTTCCACGCGCTGCCTTCTGACGGCGTCTGCAGCGAAAGACTTGATGGTCTCGCTCTCCGACTCTCTAAACCGATTGCACCTCAAAAATAGTAAGATGACGATGTAAGACACTTTGTCGATTTCAACACATGGGTGACTAGCATATTCACGCAGTTTCCTGGACACCTACCTATTCGGTTTTTATGAAACCGGACTTCGGCACATAAAGCGCTGGATTAAGATTGCCCTGTAGACATGACTCGGTGTCGCGCTGATAAATTTGCCTCCTCTTAACCGCTCGTGATTTCAGAATTCTTAACAATCGTAAAAAGGCAACAGCGCACCTCCGCGAGGTGCGCAGATGGTGGCGGTGACAGAGGTTGAGGCGGGAAAGCGGGCAGCGCATTTAAACAACTCGAAGGCGTCCACAACCTCTACTGTGCTTACGTTATACATCTTATTGACGACTGTTAACTGTCACCGAATACTGGACCGCGTGGTCGAGAATCACACCAATTATCTATTTTGTAAAGAATACATCCAAAGTAGGATCCCTCAACCACTAAAGATTCCCACAGGCTAATATTTACCATCACTAGCCTCGCAACTATAAAAAAATAAAGCTGCGTAATTGTTTCTTGTCGAACCAATGACTAACAAGCCGAAAAAATGAACGAATCGACACAACACTACTCTGAGTTAGCTATCCACAGAGTCGTTGACACGCCTTCAGTGACCTGAGAGAACCAAGAAAGGGGGCAGAATTGCCGACGCCCAGTAAACCAGCTGTTTCATCAAGCCAACTGGGCAAACCATCGGTGCATAGTCGAAGCGCTGTTAGTTTCACGCGCACTGGGTCGATAACGCAACTGCGACGGTCGAGAAACCACATTCGCAGTTATCGGTGACGGCGAAAATCGATCGTTGACGTCACGTGCAAACCGGAATCCAACGGAGTGAATTATTTGCCTTGTTTAATTTCCGAAGAAACTAAAGCGCGAACTGGGAGTAAAGCTTTCGGAACAGACCTTTTCAGGCACGGTCCGAAAACTGATGGGGTTTGGTAGCCCCACCTGAAGAAGGCAAAGCCCAGTAACCTCTAATACGAGACCGGTGGTAATCGGGTTTTTTACAGGTGGGGCAGGGGAACGCACAGCCGATGAGGTCGAGTAGTTGCATGCAGAAGAAAAGCTACTGGGAGTGCGTGGTTGCACTTTGAATGGGTGAGAAATAGTTGCGCTAACCCCTAATCCTAAACCCCGACCCCTAAACCCTAACCATAACCTCTAACAATAGCCCCTAACCCTAACCCCAACCCCAACGATATTGTGTCCATCAAGTGGGGCTACCAAACCACATCTTACCGAATAGTTGAGCTGAAATCCATCAGCTACTGCGGAATCAACGCGTAATATTCACAAACCACCAACAGGCAGTCAATAGTATAGAATTATGCAATTATTTACCGTGCGAACAACAAAGGTATTAGCTAAAAGCCCAAACACGCATGTTTCGCCGATCTTGTGCCGCTGCCTGACGCAGTTGCGAGGGCGTCAGCTCATCAGTAAGTCCAGCGCATCGGGGACCAAACTAAAAGCAGTATAGGACTGCAGCACTGCTGACACAAAGCCGGGGGATGCTAGGGATCCTGATTCAGCGAGATTATCTTCCTATAAGTACTTTCTGTCCAAATGTAATGGCTTTCGAAAAGTTCCTTCCTCCCCTACCCCTCCCCACAAGAAACGATGCGTGTACCTACGATGCTGGAGCACGGCTCAATCACCGGCTTAATAAATTAGTTTTGGAAAGTATACAGGAGAATAACAGAAACTGAGCATGGCTCCCGAGGCGAGTACAAATATGCACCCAGATGCTTTTTCGACAAGATAACTGGAATCGCCATTTCCAGCTCCGTCGTCATGAGTCAGCCGCGTCCCGATGCCAGGTGGACGCCTGAAATTCGAACCCGAGTCACCTAGTCAAAGAACATGTCTACCAATAGAGGCGAAGGGACAGGTTCCAGGAAGCAGTCTTGAAGAAGGAGACACGACTGCTGGGACAAGAGCTTTATTATCCTGATGTTTCGGATTCCTGCTCGAACCCATCATCAGAGACAAAAGCAGATACGGGTGGTTCGTGCACACAAGCGGCTGCAGTATTTATGGGATGCAGTCGCCATGCTACAGCATACCTATGAATGTTCACGGCTCACCCCTTCATCCGGGATCGTTGCACGTGGCGTGATGGCCGACATTCGCGTCGTTAATTACTGCAATCTGTTCACGTGCGTTGGGCATTGGTGCGATGATTGCTCGACCATCTGATCCATCGACCCTGATGTTGGGAAACGTGTTCAACTCTGCACCACCGCGCAGCCAATTACTCCGCCTAGGCGAAGTCTCAGGACCGAGTATGGAATGGGAAGATCATCGCATTTGTTAATGGACTGGGGGCCAGTAAACCACGACTCAAGCAGCTTCCGGCTCACGCAGTTGTCACCTCTTGCGAGAATTTCGACCTCGTCAAATTTGAATGTGTGGCCGGATCTCGTCGAATGAGCCGCAACTTGAGAGCTAGAGTCAATTATCCGCACCGCTGCAGCGTGTTCGGCCATTCGCGTTCGGAGCTGGCTCCCAATTTCTCCGACGTAGTTGAGTTTTCCGCAACTGCACCAGATCCGATAAACGACTCCAGACGTTTCTTGCCGTGACAGTGGGTCTTTCGGTTTCATTACCTGACGCCTGATGGTTGGCTCCGGTCTGTGTGCTACTCCAACCCCAAGTGGTGCGAGAATGCGGCCGACAGCCTCCGAAACGTTCTCGACATATGGAAGCGCTCGCCAACATTTGGTGTCTGTGCGGTTAGGCCTTTCGTCCCTTTTGCGTATGCACCGGTTGACGAAGTTGCGCGGGTAGCATTGGCTTTGAAGACCCGTCGGTGTTATTGTAGTTCAGCAATTTTGTCTTCCGGCTCACTGCAGTGCGTTTCGACACTCCGATAGAGCGTCCTTACACAACTGCGTTTGTGGCTGATTGGGTGATTGCTGTTGAAGTTCAGTACTTGGATCGTATTTGTCGTTTTTCCTGTTTGAGCAGGAATCCGAAACAGTCTTTGAAAGCCGATACACACGTAGAACCTACCGGATCACAATGAGTTTGGTTAGCAACATCCGCCGAGGAATAAAGATATGGGTCCACGAAGCACATGCCCCGCAGATATTTTTATGGCACCTGCTCCATGTTTTGAAGCGCCAGAAAGTTTACGTGTCTGGACTGGACCATCCCCATCTCCTGAAAAGACTGCCAGGGTGCAACACCCCATATCACAAGTAGTACCCTGTGCAGGAAGCTTGCTTTACAAGAGGCAAGCAAAGATTTCCCAAAAGCTGGACACTTCGTGGGAGATCCGGTGTACCTCTAACTCCAGCCGAGGTTTAAATAACTTGTTTCTAGTCAAAAGTGGACTAAAAACAATTTACGAGCGTAAACCGGGTCTGAGCTCGCTCGTGGACTAAAACACACCTGTCTGCGTTAGTTGGTCAGTGTGGACAAAGCAGACGCCTCGAGAACCTTTTCCAGATGTAATAATTCAGGTAGTCATTTGGGAACAAAGTCGACGGTAATGCGGACAAGTACGAAGTGTGAGCATGGAATCCACCGGACACGAGTGAAATCCCTGCATTTCGGAAGTGCCAGAAACAAACTTGGTTTACGCATGACCTCAAAAGATATTCCAGCGTTGTTAAACACTAGTCATGCATAAAGTCTACCGAAGCCACTGGGTAGAGAAGCGTAACTCCAGTAGTCAGTTCCGCAATCGGGTCAGAGAAGCGAGCGTCACCCCTACGCAGCATTTGACGTCAGGACTGCAGGTCCGTATTCAGATTTTGAGTTCGCTCGATCATAAAGTGAAGAGAGACCGGCCGACGATGGCAAGTAGGCCCGAAGTGATTGCCCCCCATCCTTGCCAAGTTACTGTGATCGTCTGGAGCTCAGAGACTTGACGCAAAACCCCTACTTAGCCCTGTCAC